GCAAACCCAGGGAGAAAGCTTAGCTGTAAAGCTGCTCTAGCTCAGCGAGATTTTTCTGGGTCACTTAGAAGAAAGGCTGCCATCGAAACTCAATAAGATAACAATATACAGACGGTACGTGAATGACACATTCACTATTATTTAGAAGTTTTTGGCAGATTTGCTTAATTTAGGTGACTCGGTTGTGAAAAAAACTCGCGGAATCGGCGGGAGTCGAACCCGCATAGGAAGTGGAATATGCTTTAATAACTGCTATATGCATTTTTATTTTATTTTACTTAGAAGTGTTGTTGATTTTTATCTGTAGATTTTCCTAATCTGTATTATCGTTTGCCATATTGCGGAAAAACCCGATTATCAAAATGCCGATTTCTTGAAATTCGTGAAAAAATGGAAATGGTGGTTAGGAGGTCGTCTACTTCAACTTACCTGATAGCTAACTTACTGTTCTAGAGATGGATTGATATAGTCCGCGGCGCGAAGAGGCTGCGGCAAACAACTTTATTGACATTGTTTCACTTTATACTTACTTCTTCAAATTTATTCACTCCCTATCCTATTGCCTCACCACCAAAACCCCTATAACCACCGTTTTCGTGGACAAAAGGCTGGAACTAGGAGTATATGAGGTGCACTAAATAAACTACTTTTGTCCCGAATCCAAAGTTACCTGATTGAAGTCGTTTTTAGAACTCGATCAAAAGGTCGCGATTTCGAGCCCCTGATGATTCGCCGTATGGGTCAGGGTATGACCGGCTCTCGAGGGTTGTTAAGCCAGATATGGCCATTCCAGCCGCACCTGTCTTTTCCGGGAATACTATCTGCCCATACTACTAGCTGCTAGAACTGTCGTCAGGACCCGAGGTAGGATACGCAAGGCAAAGGCGGAGCGGGACAAGTGAGTTCCGTTAGCGGTCAGTGAGATTTCCTCAACAAGGCTGCAAATATGCCCCGATAAATCCAAACGAATTCGGGCTGTCCAGCCAGTCCAGAGCTGGGCATGTCCAAGTATATTTTTTGTTGGCAAACCTTCCGCCCATAGGGCCTTGGACGTCCACACGCACTGGCAGCACCCTCAGTGAGTTGACACGCTGTTAAATTATTCAGTTACTCAGGCCCCAGCAGTACAAAGCAGCCAGCCCCTTCTATTCGACACCCAGTCCCATAGGAGGACTCGCCAGAGCAAGGGAATGTTTATTTTCAGGAGGCTAGCGATTAAAAGTCCTAGATGAATCATGCCGATAACACCCCTTCCCGCCCCCCTCTTCGTCCCCGCATGGGCGACGGGACACAAAGACCCGAGCTGGACGGTCATCCGGCGCCAGCGCGTTCTTTGGTTTGGCGACACACTGAGCGGAAGAGATGGGAAGCGGTTGTACTTCAGGCTGCTTTTGGCTCGCGTTCTGCAGACGATGATGCGCATACCGAGGAGGAGAACAAGGTCATCAAAGACAACCGACTTGCCATTGTGCCGGCTTTTGAACCGGTGCCGCCGAACAGTGGAACATAGGCTATCACCATCATCTGCGGTTGGGGAAACTGTGGAAGTCACCTGACTGCAGATCTCTCAAACTGGCGGCAGGACTGAGGCAACAGATGCCGAGGGAGTCAACTAAGTGATTATGCGACATTCTTTAGGGTCATTTACGATCTTAAATGTACGCAGGATCGGAACGGCCTCACTTTCGGCCTATCTCCTGACTAATGGTGAGCCGCAGCCACTTCCAAGTCGGCGAATAGAAGGAACCGGAACTTCATATTGTGAATTTCCTGATGCCAACGATACTCCTTCTGCACAACACAGGCGATAAAAGAAATCCATAAGATGTATTAAAGAGGACCAGATCCTCACCAAAACACTAATATTCCAGTTCAAGTTATTCGTTACTTTGAGAGTTTGGCCATTCACATCCGCCGGTCAGCTAATGCTGTTAACAAACCAATTCGGTCGGTTTTGATATACTCATGAGATGTATCTCGCTAGCAAACAGACATGAAAGACCCGAGCAAACTGAAGTATTTTAGGAAAAGCCGGCAGTAAATTTTCTTCAAGAAAAAACGAAGGAAGTCTCTGAAGGACAATAGATCACGTCTTCGAATAAGACAGAGCTTCTTATGTAGTGATTGGTGGTATGAAAATAAATCACCTATATAGACTTATTGAAACTCAGTGACTATTAGCAATCAGAAGACTCAGTATGATATGTGCATCGGTTACCTTGAGATAATGCTGCCCGCACAGGAGTAAAACGACAAAACAATTACGGTGTATTCAATATGCATGTTTCTATTTACGTTCTATATGCTCATCAGCTCGCATATATTTTAAAGAAAAAGTTAACAAACATATTCTCTCTTGTATTACTTTGAAAATAGTAGTGTATTCAATGAAAATGTATGTTCGAAAAAGATTTTCCAATTCCCGAATAATTTTAAGTCTCATAGTCAGTTGCAATTATGTTTGATGTTTTCGGTCTGTAACCTTTATGCCTCCCTTATAATGAACAGCAGACATTTCTCTATATTATTAAGAAGATGGTGGACTATGTTGTATATTTTATGAGGGACATAAACAAACAAACAGGTAAGATGCACTTTGAGTCCTCACCGTACAGTCATGAAACGTCTCATAAGTAGAAACTTTTGAAATACCAAAACTTACCATTTCTTCGACTATAACATGATTGACTATAATTATAGAAAGATTACTCTCAATAATGGATCTTGCCGTACACTGATCGATATTACAACTCCACTTGGGTAATATTTTCCAATCGAATAGGCATTTCGTAATTTCCGTTAACTTTTCATGATATCGGCTCCCTGGTTGCAGTTGGTGTTTCTTAAAGTTCAGTGTATACTTCATGCTGAACGGGATTTGTGACACCGGTAGCTCAAATGACGCGCACTGATGATAGCTCGACTACTACAAACGACACGATACATTATTGCCAACGATGCTATCACGCCAACTTGCTTACGCTGAAGAGATATCTTCTTTGCACCCGCCTTTACCGCGTTTTCACGGCAAAAAAGTTAAGCACATCTGTGATGTACCTTTGCACAGTGGGTGAAAAAGCGAAACAGCCCGTCTACGCGGACCACCTGCGATCTATTTCCTGATCTTCTAGGCACTTTTACTCAATCCTATTC